TCAAATCATACAAATACTAAGAACTATCATAGAGAGTATTCTCTATAGCACCCATATTTTTGTTTGCTAGCGACTCCACATATATGTCAAGCTTCTGGCTCTCACGTTAGCCCTATTCCTTATTAAGAATATCTTAGTTTTTCCATCTCCTACAGATGTCTACAATTCCCTCTTCGTGAAGTGGCCGGCTCTGCGCACTATCCACAATTAATTTTAAATCGGTCCATTGATTCGACCCCACTTTCTGTTGATGTACGCACCGATGGGTAAATATGAAGTGGTCTCTCTCGCTACACACTATTCTACTTTTTGTGCGCTCAAGTGGTTCATTACGTGCAAAGCCTTCCCAATCTGGAGAAACCACTCGAAGCTGACTAGTTACAGCCTCTCCTCCAGTTTCTGGAAGCTCTGCTCCAAAGCTTGGCTTCAACGTCGCAAATATATTTGCATTCTAAAGGAATCTTTCTGCACATTTTCATGACAAAAAGTTTTTCCCGTGCTATTTGTGCGTTTTAGTCTCTGTTTTGCCCCATAACTTTTTTTTGAAGAATAATTCGAATTCTGTGGTAAGGCGGTGGGTGGTGATGTCCGTTCTTCCAATGGATGCCGCTGGGAGCTGCTCACTCTGTGGGCTGAGCTAATCGCGGACATGCGAATGCAGGCGACAGGGCCCCCGTGACAGCCTGGCATACGAACACCCACTTCACATCGAAAATGTTAACATCATTCTATGAATCTCAATTTAATGCTAGGCGTCCGCGGGAGCCGTGCACTCGCAAGGCCCGGTTAATGTGATAAGCATGCGAGGGTGTCCGGTGCAAGAACGGCATCGGTGGGCAACTAAGCTAGTCCAAAAGTCCCGCAGCGTAAGGAAGACTCGCGTTACGACGCTAAATGTTGGCACGTTAAGGGGGCGCTTGTTCGAGAAAACAGAAGCTCTAGAGCGTTGCTGAATTGATTTCTGTGCCATACAGGAAACGAAGTGGTCTTATAGCAATTCCAGGAACGTTGGCCACGCCTTCAGAGCGTCGTGATAATTGTCTCAGAACGGTTTCGTTATTTGATAGCAAGCGTGAAGCGCGTTTCCTTAGCCGCCTTATCCGTAGTTATTGAACGCCACAGATACCATTCCTTCTCAACGCATGCTCTACAGGCTGGTCGCTCCGAGCAAGCAAAAAACAAGACAGCTGAAGTACCGTTACAATAAGTCATAGTTGTCGCGGTCATGTGGAGGCTACGAAAGATGGTTGTAGCTATCATAGTCATGGCTGTTTTGGATATGGGTCACGTACGTAATTCTGATGGTAGCGAAATTTTGAGTATGCAGACTCACTTGATCTTGTCAATGTAGACACGAAATTACGTAAACGTGACTCTCACCTTATCGCCTTCTGAAGTGGTGAAGACAGAACACAATTTGATTTCGTCTTTTTCAGGCATCGCGATCAGAGGCTCATAATAAAAGCGAAGTGGTGCCCTATGAAAGGGTGGCAACACCACACCGACTACTGATTTTTACGCTAGAGATCGTCCCGCCAAAACGAAAGTAGCTGAAAAGTGTGGGCCAGCGAGAATCGAGTGGTGGCGATTGGAGGAAGAGGCGATCATCGTCTCTCGCATTCTATCACCAGCGGTAACGATCTTAGACGAAACTTGGAAGGGAGCTGCCGAAGCCTCGTAGCGCGATCGGAGCTCGGCATGACCAAGCCTGTACGGCGAAAGGTTGACAAGCAAACATGGCTGTTGACGAACCATGTCAGAGAGAAAGTACGTGGGAAGAAAAAGCAGCGCCACGCATTTCTTATCGAAAAGATAGTTGACAACTGGCAGCGCTTCGAGATAGCAAGGAAAGAGGCGAAGAAGGTCGTTACTTCTGGGAAGGCGGTTCATTATGACGGTCTTAATAAGAAACTCGGGTCTTGCGGTGGCAAGCGATACGTTTACCGACTCGCAAAGGCCCTCTATCGCCAGACAGAGAATATAGAAATGTTCATCGGCTTGATTAACGAGAACGTTCTTCTCTTGACGGATCGCAAGCAAGCTGAAACGATGGCGAGAGCACTTCAAAAAATTTCAACAGTCAAATTTGATCATACCGCTATCCCTTGCACTCCCCCAGTACACGGTCCTGTCAAGAAGATAGCCGTGAAGGAGACCATTACGCTATGAAGAGGATGAAATCAGGCAAAGCACTGGTTCTGACAACCTAGCGGCGGACTTATGGAAATCAAATAGCTGGAATCCTGCAAGGTGACTGGCGGAGTTCTTCAACCAGGTGATTGCAGAGAAGGAGGTAAATGAGAGCTGACAACAGACCACGACGATTCCTACCTGGAAGAAGAGGAGCAGTCCTAGGGACCGCACTTGCTACCGTCCAATTCGCTTGTTCTGGCACGGCATGAAAATCCTCAAGCAAATTGTGGACAGTCGTATCCGTGACATCGTCGAGCTGACTACCAACCAGTGCGGTTTCGTGGCTGGTTGCAGCACCATCGGTGCCTTCCACGCCACTCGCTTTCTACTGGAAAAGCACCGCGAAAATCAAAGACCGGTACATCTTGCCTTGTTAGACTTGGAAAAGGCTTTCGACCGCAATCCGCGTAATGTCATATGGTATGCCGTACGACAGCATGACGTTTCCGGAGAGCTTATCAAATGGGTGCGCATCCTTTACTCTGTTCAAAGTGTCGAGTGCAAACGGCAGCGGACATATCGAAGGTTTTTTCGATCTCTGTTGAGTACACAAAGGCTCTGTGTTGTCTCCACAACTATTTGTTGTCGTCATGGATACCATAACGAGAGATCTTTCTGAGTACTTGAACACCGATCAGAGCGAGCCAGGCTCTATCAAGATTAATGGTACTGAGCTAACCCGGACAACAACATTCACGTATAGGATCGGCGTTTGCGTCTAACGGCAGCCTGGTTTTAGAAACGAATTCTCGCATGAATGCAGCGTGGTTGAAGTGATGCTCGATGACTGACGTACCCCAAGGAAGGGTTTCAACTTCCCATGGAGCCTTGAATAGAGACCTAGGGGCTTGGAAAGCTATCAACAAATATGGAAATCAAAACTGCCAAATGAGTCTACCAAAAAAGTTGTGAGCGTTCGAAGTTTGCATGTTAAAACATGTAGAGATAGTGCCGGGTGATAAAGGCAGTTGCCTCCAACGGCCACAAGGGTCACCGTGGCGTAGTGGCATTGCTCTCTCTCCAAGTGAGCGATAAGTGTTTGCTCCCCTTTGTCGTTTTCGCTTTTGCAAAGCGTGCTCTCACCCGAATAAAAGCTTCTGAACGGTCATTTCTTATTAATTTGAGTTAGCGCTCCCTTTTGGTTATGATTTGCGATCCTCTACCTATAATCTATCACCGCACTTATTTAAAATTTCTCCACGTTTTTTTTGTAACGCTCTTTGATTATTAACACCAAAAAACACATACCCACACCCGAAGTGAAATAGTCTTGGACACACGAGAAAACCCAACGTCGATGAAACAACCCAAAAAATGGATAAAGAAGACAAGCATTTGTAGGTCTCGAATCGGTTTTGTGTTTTATTTGTGGTTGTAGATAGAGAGCATATACATATGAGGTTCGCATTTTGTGAACAACATAACTGCTCTACTTAGGATGTGGTGCGGTTCACGCGCCAATATAATGAGGTCATCGGACAAAACGGCTGAAACATCATGTCAACCATAATAATGGAAGAAATAAGAGCTCATAAGTAGAATAAGTAAAGAAATGACCAATTATGCCCGTTTACAGAAGGATTGCGTTTTCTAGGATCGAAAACTTTGGAGTTATTCTTATTTCGAACGTTTGACAAGTGAATTGTTGACCTTTGAAGTGAATTCCTAATCTCGAAGGGGTTTCATTGCCATATTAAAGAGAGCTGCACTAATTCATGGTGAAGCCGTGGACTACTGCAAATTTATTTTGTCCATCTCAACAGAAAGGTACCGAAACGATGCTGCGTGCGCGGAGAGCTCTAATGGGGCCACACGTGAATCGCGCACCCCTCTCCACTCACTACTTGGATTGTTTCATCGATATTCAGTTTTTCAACACCAGTTTGGCTATGCACGCTAACGCGTGCAGTATATGTCGACGGCCACTTATCCACGATGCAGTCATTCAGCGGAATTTTGAATTATCAGAATAAGATAGTTCTCTCTAGATTCGAACGCTGAACTGCTAAGAGCATCACGCTCGATATATTTGATCAGGGTTATCAGTGCTTGATCATAGCTCCGTCCACCTTAGTGCAAACCCTTCCCACAATAACTTGACCACCCTTCTTTCACTGCTCCAAACCATTTTTTCCGCATTCCAAAAAGTTTTTGAAGGGATGAGTTTTTGGTCCTAGCCCCGCTTTAATGTGCCAGCTCCGCCCACTTTGGGGATTTGACCACATCTGTTCCATTACCTTTCCCACTTCCCCCCCGCGTTCTAGGGCGTTTCTGAACAGAGTAAGAAATTTTGACCCCGCCCACTCTCGTGCCGAACCCGCCCACTTTGAGGGTTTGGCCACATTTGTTCCATTACCTCTTCCCACTCTTCCCCGCGTTCTAGATCGTTTCTACACAGAGTTATGAAATTTTGATCTAAGCCCCGCCCACTTTGGTGCCAACCCCGCCCACTTCGACAATTTAGCCACATTTGTTCCATTACCTCCTCCCCTTTTCCCCGCGTTCTAGAACGTTTCCAAACGAAGTTACACTCATTTTTAAAACGTAGCTATCACCTTAACGCACGCCCCGCCCACCGTGAGCGGGGCTTCGCTATATTTAAGCATGTTCAGCACGCATAAGGCCTTGCCCACTATTTTTATTATTTTCCTGGCCTCGACGCCTTCATTGAATCGAGTTATGAATCTATGTGGAAAGTACAGCCCACTGCGAGAACGCTCCGCTCACCGCCGGTAAGCTTGCTTTATTTTAGTTGTTGAACCATCCCTCACCTTTGCACATTTTTCCCGGCGTCTGGACAATTATGAGAGCAAATTAGAAGAATTTGCCCATGGCCCCGCCAAGTTCCGGCGCATGCCCCGCCCCTTGGGGGCGTAGCTCAGCTAGGCTCACATATGCCCTGTTGCACTTACCCTATGCTCAACCCATTGCAAACTTGACCCGACTTCACCAGGTGTTTCTTCAGGTCATATCGAATTTCCGTACAAACAAACAGACAGACAGACAGACAGACAGACATAGCGCTTTATATATAGTAATGATACTATAAAGGGCTTGATTAGTG